TGGAGCAGGTCTCAGTGCAGGAGAAAGCTTTAGATCACCCCACGAGGAAGTTTAGGGCACTGATCCTGAGATGCTTTAAGAGGCTGGGAAACATTTTGACGTAAATACAGACAAAGGAGAAGAGATCATAGAGGCACTCAGGAATGCACTACAAGAATAATCTGCCAAAATAAATGAAAAACTAGAAAGAATTCAACAACTATAAATAGAAATTCAAAAGGCAAACACTAAAATATTAGAACTGCATAGCATTTTGAAAGAAAAAAAGCAGAAGGATTGAAACAATGGAATCAAGAATCAGCGATTCCAAGACAAATCTCCGGAAACTGAGATACAAGATCAAGCTGTAAAACAGACCAAAAGACTGAAGCCAACCTGTGAAATCTATGTGAGACTATCAAAAGGAACAATTTATTTTCATAAACATCCCAGAGCAGAAATATGGTAGTTACATCATTTCATATCAACTAGAAGCTATATAAAAATGTAGAGCTAAAAATAAAATAAAAGTGTAGGGGTGAAGTGTAGCCTGTCAATCAGGTCACAGCCTGATAGTGCCTCCTTATGGGCATGGCCTTCTCCTAAGGAAGGGTTCTGGGAACCTCCCACCCCCTTCTCTCTGCCTTCACCTTCCTGCTGGTTGCTGTAGGAGCCCTGGAGATATTACCACAGCCATTGGATCCACACATCTTTGCACCCACCACCAACTTGTCATATTCCTGCACTCTGCATCATTGCACGTGGCTGCATGAGTCTGAAGAGGGACTTACGGACTAGTGTTAGACTTACAGACTTGAGTTGGACTGGGCTGGGCTGTTTTTTTGATAAATAATTACTTCTTAATATAAAGCTCTTTCTTATACATATATGAGTGTCTCTGGTTGTTTCTCTAGTCAATCTGGCCTAAAACAAGAAATAAGATATATTATCGATGGAAAAAATAGTTGGAGAAATATTAAAAGAGAACTTCCCTAATACTATAACAGTACACAAAATGACTATTCAAGAATCCCAGAGAACCCCAAACACAGTTAATCCTAAAAGAAATCACCACAGCACATCATCATCAAACTTTCTAACCTCAGAGAACAGGAAACAATCCTGAGAGCAACAAGGTAAACAATCACATAAGAAAGCCAGGCAATGAGGATAAGTTCAGATGTTCCTATCAAAATATGCAGGCAAGAAGGCAATGAATTAATATATTCAAAAATTCGAAAGAAAACAACTATCAACCAAGTATCTTATACCCAGCAAATTTATCCCTTAAATATGACCCCCCCAAAATGATTTTCAGATAAGGAAAAATGAAAGAAACTTAAAATATGCACACACAAAAAAACCTCAAAAAAAATAAGACAGACCACACTTACAAAAAATATTCAAAGGAGTTCTTTGGCTAGAGAGTCAACAGCAATAACAACAGAGAGCAACCTACAGTTATACAGTATTATGAAGAAAACACACTACTTAAGTAGTACACAAAGGGAAACAGAACCATATCAGCCAAAATAAGGAAGGACAGACAACATTATTTTGTGTGTTTGTGGGACGGGGGGAATCCATTTTTTTCTCTTTTCCCCCCATTATTTATTTATTTTAAAAATCATTTTATGAGGGCTCTTACAACTCTTGTCATAATCCATATATCAATTGTATGCGACATATTTGTACAAATATTGCCATTGTTCTTTTCTACACATTTACTTTCCATTGAGCCCTTGGGATCAGCTCTTCCTTATTCCCCCTTTTTCCCCCCACAACCCTTGTGGCCCCTTGATAGATTATAGATTGTTATTATTTTCAAATCTCACACCAACTGCTGTCTCCATACCCCTCTGGTTTCTGCTGTACTTTCCCCTGGATGGGGGGTGTGGTTAGGTGCCATTCATTGCGATCGGCGCCCCCTCCCTCTCCACCTCTCCCCTTGTGTTCTCTCTGTTCCCACTCCTGTTCCTGGGGTCCAAGTGTTGTGAGTTGTATCTCTTGCCTGGGCCTATGTACATGCTCCCGTCTCGCCAGGGTGGGAAGCAGCACTGGGATCATGATAGTGGGGTCTCCGCTCCATCCCCCCACCCCCCACCCCACAGACAACATTTTGTCAATGGAGATGACCGCAGCAACAACCATAGAGGAAATAGAGTTGACAATAAATAGTCTAACAGAGAAGTTATTGAATCATTCCCCAAAGATAACAAACTATCTTGACTTTGGAAAGAAAACCACACAAATCAAAGAAAAAGTTAAGACCTCAGCTAAAGAAAAAAGAGGAAGATCGTATAATCCTCTTAAAAAGGAAGGTCAAAACAGAGACAGCAGTGAAAATGTTGACAGGAAAATCCATAAACAAAAGATGTAAAGCACAGAGAATATCATGAACAATGAAACCAATAGCAACAGTTTTAAACGATGGCAAAGAAACCATACCTAGCAGTAACAACACCGAATGCAAATGGATTGAACTTACTAGTCAGAAAAGAAAGACTGATAGAATGAATAAGAAAACACCAGTCTTTAATATGCTGTTTACAAAAAAACACACCTTAAGCATAAACTAAAATTCAGAGGGGGGTGGGGGTGGGGGGTGAAACCTGTTCACTCTGGATGACCCTGCTGGCATTTGAAATACCAGCGACATAGCTTCCAGCTGCACAGCAGCACACAGGCCACCACAGTGCGACAAACCGACAGAAAAAGTTGAAAATGGAAACACCATATGACTCAGAAATTCCACCACTGGCCATAGCTCTCACTTGGTCATAGTATTATTCAAAATAGCAAAAAAAGGAAACAATTTAAGCCCCCATAAGTGTATAAATGGAAAACAAACTATAGTACATACACCTAAGGGAATACTTAACAATGTTAAAGATTAATGAGAAATCTTCAAAACATTTCATAGCACCGATGAACCTACAGGACATTGGGTGAAATTAGTCAATCAAAAAAGGACTAATATTGTACGAGACCACTCCTGTAAAATGTCAAGGAAATACTTATACACAGAAAGAATACTTTTTTGAAGGGTACTATGGGTTGGAGAAAGAAGTGGAGACCACGAACTAGAGGGTAGACAAATATCAACTTGGCTTAAAAGTAGTTAAACATGCAATAAAAGGTAAATCAGCACAAAAAGGTAGACACTGGAAGAAGTACAAGTGTTAAAGACAACAGAAGTAAATACTATTAATTTCCCAATTCTTCAATAACATTGGTAACAATAGTCTATAAGTGGATATATAGATGTCCAAAGTGAGTAGGAGTGGGAAGGCTAATGAGAGAGACTACGCCAAAGAATATCTGTGTATCCATATCTATATATTTTTATAAATAGAGTTGCATACATATTTATATATACTGCAAATCTGTCCACAAATATGGTGGAACACACAGAAGGCAAAGTTATGAAAATGGCTTAGCCATAACCACGTGCCTCGAGGGAAAGAATTGATGGGCTTGGGTCTCAGGACCATAATCTCCTGGGACATCAAAGTCAGTTGTCTACAAAGACTGTGTTCTACATCATCCTTTGGTGAGTAGCAACGGGCTCCTAAAAAGCTTGTGAGCAGCCATCTAAGGCGCAACAATTAGTCTCTTCCTGTTTGGAGCAAAGAAGAGTGAAGAAAGTTGAAGCCTCATGGAAACAATTAGTCCAAAAGACTAATGAGGCTAATGCTCATACTCCACCAACCTGTGACTAGAAGAACTACTTGGCCTGGTTACGACTACCTAGTGTTCTAAAAGCGAATCACATTAAAAGGTCCTGGATAAACAAGTGAAAAATATGGGGAAACCCCCTGAAAATAATAATTTTTTTAGAAGAGAATAATTTTTTAAAAACTTTAAAAAAATTTAATGGCCTAATAAAAACTGGTAGAATCCCTTGGACTATGGGCATTAGACATCCTTCAAGTCTGGATTTGAACTCACCCACTGGTTTATTTTTTTTTTTCACCCACTGGTTTAATTCAGCTGATAGGTGCACCTATAAGGTTAACAATAACAGCAGAAAGGTCTCCACTTCTTAGAACAATCAACCACATTAGTTTAAAAAAAGGGCAGCATTTGTCTAAGGATCAATCTCAGAGGTAGGAAGGGATAGGGAAGAAGGCTGACAGGAAATGGTAAGCACTGGGAGGAAGTTGGATGTGTGTTGTGACATTGTGGGGGCAGCAATCAGTACCACACATGAACAAACTACAGACACAACATGCATTGGAAACCAATTTGCTCTGTAAACTTTTGCTAAAATCACAATTCAAGACAAAACCAAAAAAACTTCTTTGGCCAAGTGTATTTTTTCCATTTTTTAGTAGTTTACCTTTTACCTATTGAATTGTAGTAGTTCTTGATATATAAGTACCCGAACCCAAACCTGTTGCCATTGAGTCAATTACAGCTCATATTAACCTTATAGAACAGAGCGCAATGGTTTCATAGGGTTTCCAAGGCTGTAAATCTTTACAAAAGCAGACTGTCAAATCTTTCTCTGAGTGCCTGGTGGGTTTGAACTGTCAACCTTTTGGATAGCTGCCAACCACTTATCCAGTGTGCCACAAGGGCTCTTCCTAAGTCCTTTAATGGATAAACATTTAGAAAATATTTTCTCCTACACTATGTAAAACTTGTACGCTAACCCCTACCCACATTGGATCTCAATATTTATTGTCATGAATGAAAAACTTGCAGAAGGATGACTTCTTTTCAATAGCAGTTGGGGGAATTGTAGTTAACAGGAAGTAAGAGATTACTGTTTAAATTTTTGTTTGAAAGAGTCAATGTTGACGTTTTTTTTAACTAATTTGGCCTCTTCTCTTTTTTATTACAGAACGGATATCCCTTTCTTGGATTTGAAAAATCAATGAGATCACAGCTGTGATTATCTCTGAACTCTCTGTACCACCCATGGACACCTCCCATTAAATAGTTGCCACTGACCTGAGCAACTTGCCCTAAGGTTTCTGTTTTTCATTTAATAGTTGTTTTGCTTTGTTTCCCTTATGAAAAAAGATAATTCCCAGGAGTTACAAGTAGAGAATAGCGGATCTTCTAAAAGGACTACTCCCAAAAGGATCATCCATTTTGCCGATGGAGATATCATGGAAGAATATAGCACAGAGGAAGAAGAAGAAAAAGAGGAACAGAGAATGAATCCAATGCTTGACCCTGTAAGCTTAGAGTATCAATATTAGGAACATGGGGGTTGAATGTGTGATTACTTAAACAAAACAAGGTTTGTAGAAAAACATAGTTTTTTTTAAATCATTTTATTAGGGGCTCATACAGCTCTTATCACAATCCATACATACATCAATTGTGTAAAACACATTTGTACATTCATTACCCTCATCATTCTCAAAACATTTGCTCTCCACCTAAGCCCCTGGCACCAGCTCCTCATTTTCCCCCTCCCTCCCCGCT